CGAAGAAGAGACTTAATGACTCTGCCTCTATGACCCTCCACTGTTGCTCCTGAAATCTGTGTATCAACGAGGATCTTACAAAACTTCACGTAAGCATACATCTGTAGCTCCTGCTTGATCAATGACTTTTATAAGTGTCCAAACGGGGTTACTTCCAAGCCTTCTGTTTCTATGGACACTCTGGCCTCTGTTGTCACTGCCAAAGTGTTGAAAAAAATGGCCTGGTCCGAAATCTACTTCTCATGTCTCTAAGCTGGCTCAACTGTATTCGGTCCTGTTCAAGATAGGCATTTCCAACTGGTTTCCCACTAACCACAATGCCACTCTCAATCCCACCCAAGCTGATTTTTTATGGTGCATCATTCATGACCATAAAATCAATATTGGTGATTGGATTTTCAATCAGATTGGTGAGTTAGCCAATTCCCGAACCGAGCGTGAGCATCTGCCGTTTCCTTCTTTGATTTATCAGCTCTTGATCAAACAAGGCCTGCCCACTCGTGATGCCACTCTGTTGGATCCTCCTGGCCGTCCAATCACTATCCATGGTATGGCCCTTTCTGAACATTTTGCTGATATGCCTCCTATCGATCCTTCTGTTGTTCCGACAGCCTCTCACGCGAAAAAGGATCCCATTGTCTCTGCTTCTATTCCGCCGCCAGTTGACGTGGTCACCAAAGATGAGCTCACTCGTTTTTAGGAGTCTATCCAGGCTCAGCTTGCTCAGGAATTTTCGTCTATTCAGGACCAGCTTCTTAAGACTTTGGCACAGTCTGGTCAGAAAGGGGGAGTAGCAACAACTCCAGATGCAACTCCGCATGCCCCAGCAAAAACTTCAATGATGAAGCAGCAGTCCACAACCGCAAGGCAAAGCGTCCAGCAATTCTCATGATAATGATCAGCTCTCCGACTATGATTATAGGGAAGTTTTCTTGAAAAACTTTTTTGTTGTCCTTTTTGAAGTGCTTAAAATTATGTCTTTTTTAGGACTGTTATAGTTATGATTACCTTTCTGCCTTTTGGATATCACCGTGGTTATCTTAATTTTGTGCCTTGAGCTTGTTTTGGATAACTTTGTGCTGCAGGAAGTTTCTCTGTTACAACATCTATGTGTTGCAACTTCTATTGTACTACCAATATGTGATGTAGGGGGAGTTAATCATTCCTGCAAAGAGAAAAAATCTCATATGCAGGGGGAGTTCTTGTTAAATATGGATTCTGACCAATCTATGCCAAAGGGGGAGATTGTTGGCGCCAGATTTCCGACTATTGAAGATCGAGGAAATCCGCCGAGTTTTGGAATTAAAAGATTGGCAAAGATTTGTTTTCCATATTTATTTTGGAATTTATTAGAGTCCTATTCTTATATACTTCTATTAGGACTTAGATTTATTTCCATGTATTTTATTCTAGTTAGGTATCTTTTGTACTTATCTAGAATAGAAGTAGAAATCAATTAGGATTCTATTACCTAGTTAAATAGATTTATTGGGGTTCAAGTTAGGTCTTAGGGCTTATTTTCGTGGCTATATAAGCCTCCAAGACATACAAGAACCGTGGGCATTATTTGGGAGAAAAACCACTTCATAGCATTGAAGCTTTGCCAAGGCGTTCTGCGGAGCAGGACTGTGCCATCGTTGCACTGTGCCATCGTTGTGTGTGCCAATATATACAGATCTGCTGTATAGATCTCAAGGGAGATCAGCCGCGTTTCTGAAGGGAGTTCAGGCCTGAAGGGAGTTCGAGGCACGCGGTGTGGAGCTGCTGGTGGAAGAGACACGGAGTTCCAGTTGTGTACAAGAACGGCATATTACATAAAGAGGGAGTCTTTAGTGTTTTTAATAAGTCCTATTAATGTACACTGTAAATCTGAACTAGTGAAATCGTGTTTGCAGGTCCACGTGGATGTAGGGCACATTTGTGTCTGAACCACATTAATTTCTTGTGTTCATTTATTCTGCTTTTAGTAGATTTATAACTGTGTTAACACAAGAATTATAGTTGTAACTGAATAGTATTTCCACAACTTAACTGTTACAACTTAGGTTAATTGATTTTTATAGGCATATAAATCTACAAAACTGATCACATACGTCACATTTACAAACTTGCCACTATTGATGGCATCGATCAATGCTCTGAGTTTACTAGTTTGTCCGGATTTAGCATGAATCTTGGCCGGGTATCTTTGGAATGAGGAAGATCTTTTATCTTTTTTAGATTTTCGATCAAACAGAGGTCTGCGATGGGACCGAAGTGCATTGGTCACTACAAACGAGTCCATTGAAGAATCAAACGCTAATGTTTGATTCTTTTGGGACAAGAATCAAACATCTTGAGTGCATGAATCTTGAGAAACAGAACCGGAAATAACCAATGGCACGAACATTAGCATATTGTGCGTGCTACAAGATTTATGTTGGAACCCAGAATCGATTCTATAGAATCAAAGAATCACGCTATAATCAACTCACATTTTTGGTACCCTTGTATTATATCAAATTGCTAAAAAAACTCGTCGTGTTATAAATATTATCAAAAATCCCCTTATAATGCAATTTTTCACTACCCTCTAATAAATGAGTTTTTAGGGGTAATTTGCTAAACAGATTAAAGCATATGGGAGTTTTTGCTAATAAAATAACATAGGGAATTGTTTAATAGTTAGAGAAAATACAGGGGTGCCTAATGCAACAAGCTCTAAAAATAATGCACCTATGGCGGCCTTCACAATTTAAGGGTCACGTTCTTTTAAGTCTTTAACTAAGATCTCATTTTTAGGGGTTTATTGCAATTAGTACCCCTGTGTTATATCAAATTGCTAAAAAGTTACTCTTTAGTTTTTTATTGACAAACACCTCCCTACGATTCATTTTTTTTTATCCCACAAACCCTCACACAGGGTACTAATTGCTAAAAAAATTAAATTATAGGGAATTTTTTGCCAATAAAATAACATGGAATGTTTTTTTAGCAATTCACTATTCCACAGGGTTATTAATTGCAATAAACTCCATTTTTATAGCCAAGTAATATTTAACCTTGAGAAGGAAATACATAATTATAGGGGGTTTTGTGCATAAGTCCCCAACCAAGCATCTTTACTATTCTAGGTTTAGGGGCTATATCTTTTTCACCAATAAGCCCACCGTTTAATATTTATTAGGGATAATTACATTTTTTGTCCCTATATTTGCCACCTAGAACGATTTTTATCCTTGAACATTTGTCGTCACGAATTCAGTCCTCAAACTTACCTCTTTTTGACAATTTTGGTCGGACCGTCAAATTTGGCTGTTAACTTGGACGGAATGGTCACGTACGTGTCACATGACGTCCATTTGGCAGGCAAAAAAATGAGCTGGAACACACCTCGTCCACCTGGCGTCTAAAAATGAGGTGGATGTGTTTGTAATGACACCTAATTATCTCCGCACTAATTTTCGCCCCCAAATCACTAATTCCTTTTTAACGTAAACCCTATCTTATTTTTATCTCCCGTCCATTTGGATTTGGCATATTTTTTCTCTCTTGTGTGGGTGAAGATCAATCCTTTTGTCAGCAACGATGATGCTTCCGTTGTTGCTCAAAACTGCATGGCCATTGATTGTTAGAGATTGTAAATTTGGTCAGGGAAATCAAGAACCGTTGTCTATTTTTTTACATGGAGCTTGTCAAAATCAGGAAGAGCGCAAGAAACAGAGTATTGAGCATAATCAATGCTCACGGAAAATTACACAAAAATGGGTTCTCAACATTCCGTGCTTTTAGTAGAGATTGAAACTTCAGAGAAAAATCTGAAGAATAAATTAATTATTCAGAGTTTGGGAACAACAATTCTCTTGGAATTTTGCAAGCAATCTGAGGAAGAGCCTGCATACACTTCCCCATGATGTTGCAGAAAAGAAAAACAAATAGGGCAAATTACCAAAACCCCCTGAGGTAAGTCTAAATAACGAAAATCCCCCTCACGTTCTCGTAATTACGAAAACCCCCTTGACTAACGGTTGACCGAATTTTTTTAACCGAAAACGTGAAATGTCTATTAAATCCTTCTGTTAAATATGTAAAAAATAAAGGGCAAATTACCAAAACCCCCTGAGGTAAGTCTAAATAACGAAAATCACCCCACGTTCTCGTAATTATGAAAACCCCCCTTCTTACTAATTTTCTCCCTTCTTGCCTGTTAAGAGTCATGAAAATAATTAAATTTACAGTTAATCTAAACGATGCTATTAATTTATAGGGTCGGGAAAAACTATTAATCTAAACGATGCTATTAATTTATCGAGATTTTACTGAATGTCTTATTTTTTGTTTTTATATATATATAATTTAAATTGCAAGATAATTAATAAAATTAACGTACTCTTTCGGCTAAGCTGTGGCTATCAGTGGCTTGGCCCCGTCTCCCCCGAACATGAATATAATCAGGTTTTTGAACCTCGGAAATTTTGGAGCTTTCCTTCGAACAAGTGTTTCCGGAAGTTTCCATTTCGGTTTTCGCGGTGATCTCCGATTTCTCTTCCTCTGCTTTGACTATATTTTCGTTGTTTTCTTCGATATCGAACTGAGATTTAAAACACGAACGAAAGAAATAATTAAAATTAAAAAAAAAAAAAAAATCAGATCCCATAAATAACATAAGTATTATTATTATTATTATTATTATTATTATTATTATTATTATGAAACCTGTGCTTTTCTTTTTTCTCTATTGATCAAGCTACTACTGTTGCATTGCCATTCGGGTTTCGGGATTGAGTGGTAAGGGAAGTGGTGAGATAGATCGACGGCGGAGAGGAGGTCCACGTGGCGGGTGTCTTGGTTGTGCCAAGAATTGGTCTGTTCTTGATAGAGGCGGTGGCGGTGGTGGAGTAGGGCGGAGCTCTGCTTTTGCTCCATGAGATTTTGTCCAGAGGAAGAAGAAGATGATGACGTGGATGGTGATGATTGGTGGAGGCGTAACATTAAAATGCTTACAATTACCCCCTAAGGGTAATTTAGTGTACAAGGGCAAAATTGGTATTATCGGAGGAATATTCGGGAGAATCAAGAAGATTCTATCGAGTTTAACACCGTTAGAGCGATTTGTAAGACGTCTGCATACCTCAGGGGGATTTTCGTAATTACCAGAACGTGGGGGGATTTCCGTTATTCAGACTTACCTCAGGGGGGTTTTGGTAATTTGCCCAAACAAATAATAGCAATCAAGAGAAATATTGTTCTTCCACGGCAAGACAACTATTCCTGAATAAAATTGTTATTACACAATTCTAACGATTCAAGATTTGATTCAGATAGATTTGGATTGGAATTCAATGTAAAGAATTACAGTTGCTATGATGAACTTCCCAACGAAAGGGTGAATTAGGAATTTTGGGGAGAAAAATAAACGAGAGATAATGAGGTGTCATTCCAAATCCTCCACCTCATTTTTTTATTGCCAAATGAAAGTCACTTGAGGCGCACATGACCATTCAAGCCAGATTAACAGTTAAATTTGACGGTCGAATCAAAACTTTCAAAAATTGGTAAGTTTGAGGAGCAAAATCGATGCTGCAAATGTTTGAGGACATAAATCATTTTAGGTGAAGTGTAATTATTCCATATTTATTATAAATAAAGGACACATTCATGTATATGACAATATTACCCCCAACCCTTTATACATAATTCTTAATTGTAACCCCAATTTAATCAATTTTGTCCACAAAAATCCAATTTTGACTTTTTTTTTCAATTTAAAAAAAAAAAAAAAACTTTTTTTGCCGCCGGATTCCGGAGTTGACTTTTCAAAAAAAAAATTATATTCTATTTTTTTCCGCCGCCGGATTCCGACGTTGACTTTCTTTATTTTATTTTATTATTTATTTTTTCTTATGCCCGCCGCTAAACGTTGACCGTAATGATGCGGTCACTGACAGTAAATTAACGTAATTGTACTGCAGTTGAAAATACATTTATGTAATTGTTCTGTCAACGTAATATTTTTTTATTTTTTTTTTGTTATTTTTTTTTTGTTTGTTTTGTTGACAAGTCAACGTAATTATATTGCTGTCGTTGACAGTAAAATAACTGTAAACACAATAATATTGCTGTCAACAACATCAATATTATTATTTTTTTGGGTTTTTTGTTTTGTTTGAGTTATTCACGGAGTAACGTAATAATATTACTGTCTATTATTGTAATATTACTGTAAACACAATAATATTAGTGTGGTTGACGGTAATATTACTCTTGTTATAGTAATATTGCTGTCAACCACATCAATATTATTATTTTGTTTGGATTTTTTTGCTTGTTTGAGTTATTTACGGAGTAACGTAATAATATTACTGTCTATTATTGTAATATTACTGTGGTTGACGGTAATATTACTGTTGTTATAGTAATATTACTGTCACTTATGTGACACATTAATATTAATTCTTTTGGGTTTTTATTATGTTTACATTTGTTGAACGGTCAACATAGTAATATTACTCTATTACACAATAATAATGAGTTTTGTTGTGTTAATATTACTGTGCTAGAGATTAATATAGCAATATTATTGTGTTAAACTGTAGTATAGTTAATTTTACTGTGTTTAACAGTAATATAGTTAATATTATTGTCAATCACACCAATATTGCTGTTTAAGGATGATATTGGAGCATATTAAAGTATAATGAGCTATTTTAGTCTTTTACAAAAATCTGGATCATGTGTGGACTTATTTGTAAAGGAGTTTATTGTCTGAATCTCTTTATGAATAAGTATCCATTGATGGGCTTATTTGTAAAGACCCCTAATTATTATTTAAGCTTATTACTTGATTAAAAAAAGTCCAGGAGAAGCAGCTCTAGTTCAGGTATTTGATCAACAAAAAAATGAAGTTCTTATATGTTAAATAAAGTTTAAGCTAAACTTGATTGATGATGGGACGACAAATGTTTCACGGATTCGCATTTACGTGTAAGACGAACATGTAATTAGAGATGAATGTAGCGATTATTTCATCTTCAATTGGAGCCACTGCTGCTGAAAGGTGTACGTTGAAATGTCTGAGAGAGAGGTTTTACTGTAACAGGTACTTGGAAGATATGTACAAACCAATCATATACGTACATACAGTAATTGAAAATGATGCAACAAGGATTTTTCTCTATCCCTTTGCATTATCTTGTAATATTATTAGCTTGCGCTGACAAGATGACACCAACTTATACTAAATTAAAAGACAAAAATAAATAAAGTTTAATAATTGGTAGACAAAACAAAGAAAAGTCAGCAAGCGACTAAAATCTTTATATAGAAGAGTACTAATAACTAGTGTAAGCAAATCTACCATATTCACAACTCAGAGCTCATTAGTATAAAAAAAAAAAAAAAAAGAATGGAGCTTCCTCTTATGGCAGTTGCTCTAATTCTTGTCTCGATTTTTCTGTTGGCCGATGATGTGTCGGCAGAAAGACTAGTAATATTCGAAAAAATCAACCCCGAAAAACGGCGGAAAAATCAGGAAGAAAAAAAAAAGTCAACGGCGGAGACCTGTCTATAAAATTGTGTTTTGGGTCAAAATTGAATAATTTGTGAAATTTGGGGTTAAATTAAGGTTAGATTAAATTAAAGAATAAAATTGGAGCATATTAAAATGTCATGGGCTATTTTAATCTTTTACAAACTCTAGACCATGTGTGAACTTTTTGTAAAAGAGTTTATTGTCTGAACCCCTTTATGAATAAGTACTCATTGATGAGCTTATTTGTAAAGTGTCCTTAAATGAAAATGTTGGGTAGATGCACTTTTTTTAAAGATTTCAAAAGCTCTCAAAGAGCTTATTTTTTGAGATTTTAAGATTTTTTTCTTAAATACCAAACACTTTGAAATAGCTTATAAACTGTTAAATAGCTTATAAATTATTTTAACAGCTTATAAATTTAGTCAAACACCATCTTACTCTCTTTTTTTCTCTCTCTAGGAAATACTTTAGAAAATCTTATCTACCTAAATAATATGGTGTCTTTATGAGAAAGTCCCTGATCACCCAACCCTTCAAACCCAATTTCTTATTGTAAACTCTAATTTAACTAAAGTTTATCAATTTTGACCATCAAGATTCGAGTTTGACTTTTTTTTTTTTTTTTTAATAAAACCTTTTTGTTTTTGAATTTTTTCTTTTTTGCAACTGGAGATCGGCAGTCAACGCTGGTTTCCGGCGGCATTGACTTTTTCTTTTCTTTTCTGCTTGTTTCCCCTCACCACTGCTGACCGGCATCAAGGCCGGTCTCTGACGGGGTTGACCTTTTCATAACGGTAACAATAAATCAATTAAATCTTGAAATTTAAGTACATGGTCAGCATAAAATTCAAAATTATCACCGATTGTAGGGTCAAAAGCCGTTCAGGAGCTGCTCCCAGCAACAAGTTAGTGGGAAAGTTCAGATACCTCTTTTGTTAAGATTAGCAAGAACTCCATTGTTCTAGAAAACTCTCCAGAAGTCTTTTCACTAGACGCTTCATTAGGCTAACTAATTTTAATTATAACATTAATTAGGTTGGTGGATTTAATTAGTGCTCCCAAACCACTGTCTTTATTATGTATAAATAGGCATGAGGCCAATGTAACATGGAATAGAGAGAAAATTGCAGTAATCAAAAAGTGTATTATTTTATCTTATTTCTCTACAAGTGGTATCAGAGCAGGCTTTCTGGGATCGTCTTCGAGGTGCTGCTTACAATACTTTGCCACGTCCAAGTGGTGTCAAAAAGCAGTCAGGGACTGTGAAGCTAATCGATCAGGGATCGAGCTTACATGGTTAGGGTTCACCAAGTTACAATGACAGATATGGCGACGTCGGTAAATGGAATCGAAAAATTGAATAACAACAATTACATTACATGGAGCGTCCGTATGCAATTTTACTTGCTTGGACAAGATCTCTGGAGTATTGTTGGAGGAGGCGAGACTCAACCACCAACCGAAGAAGAAGAACTAAAGAAATGAAAGGTCCGAGCCGGAAAAGCAATGTATGCTCTCTCAGTTGCCGTGGAGGATGACTTACTGCACCGCATCAAAGATGCAAAAAAACCAAAGGAAGCATGGGATACTCTCTGTGGTATATTTGCTCGAACAAATGACGCCAAGCTACAGCAGCTCGAGAACGAGTTGTTGTCGATCTCGCAACGCGACTCGTCGGTAAGTGAGTATGATGCGATCTCTCGAGTATCATAAATATTTCCTACGAAACGTAAGATCTATTCTTTATTATTTCTCTTCATTATAAAAACCCTAGCACAAGACGACTATTTAAAGATAATAAAACCCTAGAATCCTAATCTAACTAGGAGACATAATTAACTAAACTAATAAAATACTTAATATCTAACCTAACCACTAAACCTACGGCTCCTAACTAAATTAATACTTCAATAATATATATTAAATAATAAAATACTAAGTAACGATTAAATATACGATATATTAAATATATATCGTATCAAACCACCCCTCTTGAAATGAACCTTGTCCTCAAGGTTCGAGTCAATTTGGTCCCTCTCCTTTGCGTTTCCACCTATGTTTGACTTCATCGACTTGCTTCCCGATTAACTCCGATTCCGAAAAACACGATGACGAGCGATCAAGATCTTTACCACATTGTTTATGTTGATCGAACGAACTCCTCAAGGCTTTTGGAAAAATTCTCAATATTTTTCCCGATAAATAAGCCTCTTCAATTACCTTTTCAGATTCCGGTTCATTCACAATCACAAGCACTTCCTCGTTTCCTTTCTCCGGGAAGTCGTGGCATCCTTCCACTATATTTTTTAATTCTTTGTCCTCCTCGCTACTTAACTCCTCGTGCCCGTTCCAAATTATCTCACTTAAGACGAGTGATTCTTCAATCTCCTTATTGGTTAATTTCTCGTCTTCATCCCAAATTACTTCTACCGAATCCGGTAGTTCTTCTTTCGGCGAACTC